AGGCTTTCAATGAAAGCACCAATGACGGTAATAATGTTACCGGTAATAATAATACTATAATAACGTTATAAGAGAGTAACAATAGTTGTATTGCCTTTGTCTCAGTATAGAAAATACAGTGTGTTTGTCCAGAGTCTTGAACGTCCCCCACCAAGATGGGGGGGAGCTCCTACTTATACAAAAGCTGCTAACGGTAACAACATGAAGCATAAATGGGGAGCTAAGTCTTTAATTCTCTCTCATCAATGGTGACATCAATGGTGGCTTCAATGGCAGTAAAGGTGACAGCTGTTGGAATTCTGCCCGTTGGAGTTTTGCCCGTTGGTTTTCCATGTGGTGTCGGGTCAGATGCTGCTTATGATCCGGGTCGGGTGCCAGCACCATTCCATGTGGTGTCGGGTCAGATGCTGCTTATGATCCGGGTCGGGTGCCAACACCATTATCCTGTCACGCACCATTATCTTTAATAAGTGATATGTAGAGCTATAAATCATAAAAAAAAAAAATTTGTCTAGAACTTTTTACAGGTTTCCTACCGGTTATCGGTAATGTTGCAAAAAACGTTAGGCGCCGATTTATTTTTAATTTTTTTTTAATTTTTTAATTAAAAATAAAATTAAAAATTAAAAATTTTCAAAATTTAGTAATAAAATATAAAGTTTTCATAGTTATTTCTTACGAACTATTTACGTAAATGGTTGTAAAAGTGTTCAAAAGATTGTTTAAACCATCTAAATACATAAAAAAAACTAAAATTAAGAGCAAAATAAGCATTTTTCCTTTTTCCCTAAACGTATAGACCTGCTCTGCGTTTTTCGCTTCTCGTTTCTCCGATCTCTACGGAGTTTGGTATCGGAGACTAACATAGCATGACATAGCAAATAATTAAACATCTAGAGGTTTAAAGGAAAAAAAAAAAACATCTAGAGGGATTATAGAGCTTCAAGATTTTTCAAAGTACTATATTAAAAAAAAAAATTAATCTCAAGTAACAATTTATTGTTATTCTTTATTGGTTTGACATTCCTTATATGTGGTACACAATATATAAGAAATCTCTCTTGTGTGTTCTAAGTTATTGTATAATGATACTAGGTTGGGGTTACAATTGGTAGATGAGTTTCTACAAATGTGTAAACATCTAAGTTATACCAAACTCCGCAGAGCAGGCCTGATCGGAGAAACGAGAAGCGAAAAATGCAGAGCAGGCCTATACGCTTAGGAAAAAAGAAAAATACGAAAAAATAATAATACAAAGGCGAAAGAAGAAAAATACAAAAAAAAAAAAAAAAAAACTAATAAAAAAATTTCATGTCAACAATATTATATTATTACTAGTAACTTGTAGGAAACCTGTAAAAAATTCTAGATGAATTTTTTTTTTTATGATTTATGTCTCTAAATATCACTTGTTAGTAAACATGTAGTGACTAATTAAAAAGACTAATTTACACATTTGTAGAAATCCATCTGCCAATTGTAACCCCAACCTAGTATCACTATACAATAACTTATAACACACGAGAGAGATTTCTTATATCTTGTGTACCGCCTATAAGGAGTGTCTAACCAATAAAGAATAACAATAAATTGTTGTTTGAGATTATTTTTTATTATTATTTTTTAATATAGTACTTTGAAAAATCTTGAAGCTCTATAATCCCACTAGATGTTTAATTTTTTTATTTTTTATTTTTGAAAACCTCTAGATGTTTAATTATTTGCTATGTCATGCTATGTTAGTCTTTTATATTTAAATAGACCACTTGTTTATTCACAATCTTTGTTGAATTGAGATCTTGAATTCTTATTAATAAATGAAACTTGAGATCTTGAATTCTTCTCGATAAATGAAACTTGTCAATCACTCTGCCTTTTGTATCTCCACCAACACAACTCCACAAAACAATTTGGTGTGGTTTTAATGTGTTAATGGTGTATGCGACATTGGTGTGGAAACGGTGGAGCATACTCTGCGGAGATGCAATAGAGTTGAGGCTATATGGATGAAGCTGGTACAAGAAAGAGCCTAGAAATGGTAGAAGTGTAGAACATTTGAAACTCTGAGGACTAGTATGGTTCAGGACTAATATGAACAACTAACACAGTTAAGGTATCCTCAATGGTAGGGATTTTGACGTAGATTTTGAGGAGTTTTTGTAAGTTTGATTATGAAAGAGAAAATGGTAGAAAAGTGAAAAAAAAAAAAAAAAACAAATGCTGATTTTCAAAAATTTTAAAAAAAAAAAATTAAAGACTGTCATTAACACGTGCTTGTGGCCTTCACGCAAATAGAGACGGAAGCCACTAAAATGAGTGGATCCCACTTTTTTTTTTTTTTTTTTTTTTTTTTTTTTTTGCAAAATCTCCAAATTTACAAAAAGCACTCTAGCATTCCCTCTCCTTGTTATTATCCTTTCATGTTGGCAACTTTTTATTAAAACCTGTGCATAGTCCCCTTATTGGGGATGTCCTTATAGACTCACTTGGAGAAAATATTATTGGCCTAATATGTTCAAGTCCACGCTATATATGGTGAATTTGGTGGTGAAGGAACGAAACAATGTTCAATTCATAGGTACATAAAAGATTACAAACATTAATCAATAAACTTACAATAACCTTAATAAATAATGAAAAAAATGGACAAATAAGCTACTAAATAAAATGTGAAAATGCAATTAGATATCTGAACTCAAAAATAAAATGCAATTAACTCACCACACATATTAAAAATCGCACAATTATGACCAATAGAGCTCTCTCTCCTGTGATTATCAGTCAAATTGCTTAAGTGGACATTATGTGTTCTTAATACATTTTATGCTAATTTGAAAAATCAGTTGAGCCAAATCCAACCCAAGAAACACAATCGCCTTTTTCTTCATATATATCTTTTAACAATGGGCAGCTCAACTGGTCATAGAGGTGAAAGTTTGGAAGAATGACCGGGGATCGAGTATCACTAGCGACAATGTGAGAGCAATCTCTGCCTCTGTAGTTCATGTTCAGTTGAGTTCCCATGATTCCATAATTTACATTCTCCCAAATGCTCTGTCGAGTTCGGGTTCAACCTTACGAACATATAATTGAAAACCAATGATTATATGGTTTGAATTTGGATATGATAGAAATATTGCATTCAAGGTCGTCAAACTACACAAAAAAAAAATGTAATTAACTTATCAAACAAGTTAAAACTATGAAATACATTTAACAATCCATATAAGCAATTTTACCAATAATTAAAGGATATATAAGTGACTAATTGATGAAATTGTATGGTTTTGATATGTTTGATGGGTAAGTACACTTAAAAAATAATGTTTAGTGGACCATTTTATTTTGTTATGTTAAGTTCAATGATTTATTTAATTCATTTGTATATAAATAAAATGGAAATAATCTAAATTAAATCTTTAAAAAAATCTAAATTAAATTATTTTAATTATTCAAATGAAGAAGGTGGGGATGGTGTGGAAATCATGAAAGAAAAGAAAAGCAGAAAGAAAGAACATATAAAACAAAGAGGATAAAATGATTACAAACATTTATTAATTTTAAAAATCTCGTCAATTATATTTTTCATTTCTGTAAGGACATTCACATTTGTGATTTTTGTTGGGTATTTTCAGAGAAAAAAACTAACTTTACAAAATGGAAAGCCTTATTTTTGAAAAAAAAAAAACTTTTTTTCCTACAAATACATAGATTTTGTAGGGGAATAAAAAAAAAAAAAAGAGGTGCATCTCGCGCGTTTGGGGCACGTCAGAGCTGGCCGGCTACTCTAACTCTAACCATTGCTTTTGAGATTTTTTCTTTTTTAACATTGTAGAATATTTTTCTTTTATTTTCTTTTTCTCTTCCTTTGTTGTCTCTCTCCTACATGGCCTCCTAAAATATTGTGCAAAAACTCAACAAATGGAGATGCTTAACATAAAGTTTGATTTATCGAATAAAAATGAAAGAATAGTGTTGAATTTTAACGAGTCATACTCAGTATTAAACCAGTTTAATATAAAAGCAATATTAAGAGAAATGAACACCAAATTAAAATGAGTAAAAACCCTAGAAATATTGCAAATGGGCTACAAATAAAATAAATAAAACAATAGAATTACAAATACCCAATGGAGAATGGATTCGCTCAACTGGCCAGTTGGAAGCTAGTTGAAAGTTGTCAACAAGCAACAAACTAGCCAACGACTAATGACAAACGAAAGGAGTCAGGTGAAAGTCTTGATGTTGAATTGAGGATGATGTTTAAAAGGGAGAAGTCCACTCCCTCTTTTTATAATGTTATTGGGAGCGAAGACCACAACGAGACTAATGGACCAGGGTGTTTAACAAACCATAGTCGCACATACACCCCCAATATACCGTCTCTTTTGTCACTAACATGCCACATAGCCTAGGAAGTTAGAACACCTTGGACCAACTTCACTGCAATTCAAAGTGTTCGATCCACCACCAACAACCAAAAACGCACTCCACATTAGTCCATAGGCCCAAACTGGCTCCTCGCCCAACCTTCGACACCCTCGACTTTACTGCTAATCAGGTTGAAAACACCGATCGAAGTCCTAATGGGGGAGGGGGAATTGGCTCTCTCCCCCCATAGGTACTTTTCCATCATTATTCCATGTCTACATTACCAAGTGCGTCCTTAGTGCTCATTTTCATGTCTTTATATGACGTTCTACACTTTATGCCTTAACATACTTTGTTCTTCAAACTTTCTCCAATTCTTCACTTTACAGCCCCACCTCTTCAATCTTCGCACTTTGACCCATTCAAACTATATTTTTCAATTAAACATCTCGTATTATTGCGACTCACAAAGACAAAATGTTAAGTATAATTTTTTTTAAAAAAAAAATATTAAAGCTTACGTAGCATAATAATTCTTAATATAAAAACTCCAGCCCCTCTTTCTCCCGTTTCTTCCATGTTACTCAAAAGTAAAAATTCCACAATCGTGAAGATTACCAAATACTGGTTACAAACATTTGTGGGACCCACGAGAAGGATGGGCAGAGAATCCTATCCTTATCCTGGATTACATTATCATCTACACAACCAAACATTTCTCTCCATCTCCCGCCGGCGGGGAAAAACTAAACTCTCACCGAGAGTGAAACCATGGCTTACTCTTCCGCTCTATTTTCTCCCGTCAATTTCAACCAATTGACAAATTGCTCTCGCACAAAGCTCACCAAGCCTCACCGGAGAACTGTCGTCTCCGCCATTCCGCCGCTGTCCACCGCCACCGACGTCTCAGCACTGACCGGGCTCGACGGCACCACTCTCGCCGTCATCGGCGGCAGCTCCGTGGCGGCGCTGGCGGCGGTGCTCTCGCTGTCGGACCCCGAGCGGCGGCGCCAGTTGCAGGCGGAGGAGGTCGGCGGCGGCGACAAGGAGGTGGTGAGGGAGTATTTCAACAAGGACGGGTTCCAGAGGTGGAAGAGGATATACGGAGTCGGCGACGACGTGAACAAGGTCCAGCTGGATATCCGGTTGGGGCACTCGAAAACCGTCGAGAATGTGATGAAGATGTTGACCGATGAGGGTTCTCTGAAGGGAGTGACCGTCTGCGACGCCGGGTGTGGGACCGGGTGTTTGTCGATTCCGTTAGCGAAAGAAGGCGCCTTAGTAACGGCCAGCGATATTTCAGCTGCCATGGTTGCTGAAGCCGAGAAACAGGTAATTATCACTCGATTTCAGCTCTTAAACCCTTCTTACAACTAATTCTCCATATATGATTGTCTTCTGCTGAAATGCTATGTGCCTTCCTAGTTTAATTTCCCCTTGCTAAAAGACTGATTTATATGGAAAAGTTGATTTTGTTTTGGGTTATGAATGCAATGGCGAAATATAATTTGTATAGCTAACCCAACTAGATTGGAAATTGGAATTGAATTAGTTGAGTTCTTTATACACACATACTGTATGCTGTAAATATGTGCAAATTGTAAGCTCAACCAAATATATCAATGGTGAAATAGAATTTGTATAGCTTATCCTAATGATATTGAGATTAAGGTGTAGCTGAGTTGATTTATCAAGATTAGATGCAAATTCTAAGCTAACAAAATATTGGCAGTGGATTAGTTAAGGAGTTGTGCAATAAAGTGCATTTACTATTACTGAGAGTTTGAGATCAAATTGGCAACGTAACCTGAAAGTGTAATCAAGCCACAGAATGAAAAAAAGAAGAAGAAGAAGGTGCAATTGGACCTCCGAACACCTCAGATATATGCAATTTCACATGATAGCAAGTTAACACCCATTTCTTCCGGTTGCCTGCTTATGTGGATGGTGAGTTGACATTTTTAAATAATTTTTAATAAAAAACTTATAAAAAGAAAAAAAGAAAAAACTGCCGAGGCCACCCCCTTCCCCCACCTTCGTCTCCGGTGGGAGAAGAAGAGAGACCCAACCAGAGACGAAGAGCTTCTCTTCCAACTGGAGACAAAGGAGGTGCTGACCACCACGGCCTTTTTTTTTTTATAAGTTTTTTTTTTATTATTAAAAATTATTTAAAAAATGCCAACTCACCATCCGCGTAAGGCAACCGGAAGAAATGGGTGATAACCTGCTATCAGGTGAAATTACATATATTTGAGGTGTTTAGTGGCCTAATTGCACTTTCAAGTTAAGTTCAGTGGTCAATTTGTACCTTATTCCTTGTTTTATTGTCTTAGAGAGCAACCCAAGAAATGTTCTTGAGTTTTTACATAAGAAGTGGGGTAACTTTGATATTTCAAAGAGTAATACTACGTGCACTAGTTGTTAATGTGACATGTTGTGATCAATTCAGAAAAAGAGCGGGGCCATGGTTTTTACATAAGAACTGGGGGGAACTTTGGAATTTTGAACTTTGATATTTCAAAGAGTAATACTACATGCACTCGTTGTTAATGTGGCATGTTGTGGTCAATTCAGAAAAAGAGCGGGGCCAGGGTTTTTATTTTATTTTTTTCTTCATCCAATAAAATTTGAACATATGGTAAGGGTTTTATTCTCTGGAAGTACACTAATGATCATTTTCCTATTTCTTGTTGCTAAACATATTTCAGGCACAAGAAGAGCTTTTAAAAGGGAGGGATGAGAAGCTCCCTACACCAGTGATGCCCAAGTTTGTAGTGAAGGATTTGGAAAGTTTAGATGGGAAGTATGACACTGTTGTGTGCCTGGATGTTTTGATTCATTACCCACAGAACAAGGCAGATGCAATGATTGCTCATCTTGCATCCTTGGCCGAGAATCGCCTAATTCTGAGCTTTGCCCCGAAGACATTTTATTACAATCTCTTGAAGAGAATCGGGGAGTTGTTCCCTGGACCTTCGAAGGCCACGAGGGCATATTTGCACGCGGAAGCTGATGTAGAGCAGGCATTGGCAAAGGTGGGGTGGAAGATAAGGAAGAGAGGTTTGGTAACCACACAGTTTTACTTTTCAAGGCTCGTTGAGGCCGTCCCTGCTTAGGATGCGGGCAAAGACGACAGGTTATATCACATTTTTGCTCTTTCTTTCATTGATTTCTTGATGATTAGGAACGAACAATAACCTCATCATCAATTATTGTCTTGTGAGTTAGTCAGAGTTGGGTGGGTTGGGTTGGTGTCAATGATTTCCTTGAGGCGATGCTATAAAAGTACAACTATAGATGACAGGATGTGTGTCCAGGAATAGATTAGAGGATTAAGTTTTGTAAAAAGTGTATTCTATATATTGTATTCATGCTTTTTGCATTCTCCCTCAGTCCTCATCTCTCACTTATCAGTAAATCAAAAGGTAAGTAAACATGCTCCCCTCTCAGATCAGTGTGAAATGTACATCTTTTTCCTGGCATGGTTGCATATAATATGTTTCCTAAACTTTCCATTTATTCTAAATCCTCTTAGTTAAGTATCATCAGATGTCCACAGTGTTGGGGCGGAGATTGGTAAGGACTAAGTCCAATATCATGTGGCTGGGGAGATTGTTAAGCGAAAGTCGGTAAAGGATTAAACCTAACACCCTGGCCCACATTTAAAGTTGTGCATTCACTACTAGCTATAGTTTTTGGTGTAATGGTAAGGATTTGATCCTAACAAGTAATATTAGAGCTCGATGGAGATTGTCGGGCGGAGGTGGGTCAAGTCCAATCCATCACCCTGGTTCTTAAAAATGTGTAATGATATAAAAATAAATAAAAATTTTAGCGTATTGGTAACTGGTAAGCGTTTAATTCTAACAGAGAAGGAATTTGTCATTGTTCACAACATTTTTTTTTGTGTTTTCTATTAGGTCAAAAAGGAAATTAGGTAGCCTAGTGGGGTTCTTTACCAAAAGAGAAGAAAAGTGTATTTCCTTGATGCAAACTTTAGAGATTTGCATGTTTTTCTCGGCACTAGAGCCACTTATAGGGTCAAGTTAATTTCTGTTTCCATTCTTTGGCTATTATCTTTGTAAATTGATTAAATTTGGTCATTATTAAGAGCATGGCACTTCCAATATGAAAATATACCACTTTTAGTCATAAAGTGGCACATGTTTAATAATTAAGAATTATATATTTGAAAAAAAACCTCTATACACTGCAAAAAAAAACCTCTATACACTGCAAAAAAAAACCTCTCTGCCCTCCCAAACCTTGCTTCTCACCGTTCCTTTGTAGTGTGGCTGCCGACCTTGGCCGGCGGTCTCATACTTCCGTAGTTCCTTTGTATTTTGTTTTTTAGTTTCACAACTTCCACCATCACATCTAATCAAGAAGCCTCTCACCATTGTCAAACACTTATTTTTCAACAAAAAGGGGAAAAGAAGGCTTTATGTCAATGTTCTTTTCTTGAATCTAGGTAAGGAAGTCTTTAAGTTCTGAAAAAGGACAAGAAGTTCTGTACTTTGATCAAGGACAAAAAGGCGTGGTGTTTTCTTGATGGAAGAAGGTGTGGAGTTCTGTTTTTTCATTTTTTTCATTAGTTATTTTGACAAGTTATTTCCTCTCGCTTCTTTGGCGAGTTATTCCCTCTTGTTTCTTTGGCAAGTTCTTTTTTCATTAAGGTGAAACGATTTCATTGATCATGGCGTATGTTTATCTCATCCTGAGCAACGAAGAAGATTTGAACCATGATATGCAGTTCAGATTAATGAAGATATTGTCTACGGACAGAAGAGCTGCAATAGTTACTCAGGTGGTATGCAAGACTTCTCAAATAGAGGCAGTCTTGGATAGCCAGATCATTAACAACATCAAAGAAGCTTCAGGTTCCTCCAATGAATTCAGCTTCAATCTTGTAACACAGTTTGCGATTCAAGTTTCTTTTAGCATTGCTAGGAAAGTTGTTTCTATGTCTGACTGTAAATAATGTTTTATCATTCTATTGATCTTTATTGTAACTGTTTCAACTTATGATTAATGAATTAGTTTTTTATTTTTTTTTTAAAAAGAATTATATATTTGAGTTCCAAAATTTTTAAAGAATGCAATCGTTAAAAAAAACAAAAAAAACAAAAAAAAAAAACAAAATTGGAAGAGTAAATTATTGAAAATTCAACACTTTGGCCCTCAACCTCTAATTTTGTTCAATAATATTGTTATCAAGTATATTTTTGTTTTAGTCGCTTGAAGAATTAAAATAGACACAAATTTAAATGAATTAGCATTTTTAAGAAAATAATTTGATAGTTAACGATATTTTCAAAAAAAAAAAAAAGATAGTTAACGATATTATTGAATGAAATTTAACCAATAACTAAACTACTCAAGTAGTTAATTTACTATTTCTAAAAAACTGTAGTTAATTTACTACTAATTAATTAGTTATAAAAACAACCACATTAGTGGTTTTTGATGCTCAAGTTTTTGCTGGCCAAAAAATCAAACAATGATTTTTACATAAATGGAGAATTTGATTTTTTCAATGTTTTTTTCTTATGCAAGACCCTAGGTTTTTTGTGGGTTTCACAGGAGAGAGAAATGGCAGAAAGATAGTGCATTTGTGCGCTTTGGCATTCATTAAGTTAGGAGCATCCATATCAGAAGTTAATTGGGAGATCTTGGAACAGTAAAGGGTGATGCAGAGGGAAGAGAAATAGGTGAGAGAAGGGCTTTGGTTTTCCTGCGGTTATTGCTACAGTGCAAAGCATACTGTAATCATCACACGCGCACAGCATGTGGGCACGTGCCTGTTGGCGCGTCAAATTATTATTTTTTCTTTTGTTTCTCTTCCCTCTAATATTTTATTTCATAATCACACTTATAAAAACTTCTCAAAAACAACAAAATATCTCCACCATTATTGATGCTCTAAGAGAACCCTGATCCACAATATAATTTGTCTGTGTGATTGGTATTAGGATTTAGGGCAAATTATGTTATGGAACTAAGGTGGACACGGTTCCAAAACTGTTCATAATTATGAATATATATTATATAGTTAAAAAATTATCAACATATCGTTCTATAATTATGAACATATAATTGTGAACATAATTATGAAAATATAGTTTTGTAATTATGAATATAGAAATTCAATAATTGTGAATATGAAGTTCAAAAATTATGAATATATAGTTCAATAATTATAAACATAGAATTTTGTAATTGTGAATATAGAGTTTAATAATTATGAATATGAAGTTCAAAAAGTATTAATATATAGCTTTATAATTATGAACATAGAACCACGACATAACGATTGAGGATTTAGGAACATCAGTCGTTATACCCTACACCACGGCGCGCATAGCACTGTGCGCCGCGCGCCTCCCAAAACAACGTCGTTTTGGGAGGCGCGGTAGGAAGTTGCTGGGATTATGTGTATTTATTCACACAATTATGTGTATTTGTTCATACAGTTATGTATATTTTTTTATACAATTATGTGTATTTGTTCATACAATTATGTGTATTTGTTTATACAGTTATGTTCATTTTTTATACAATTATGTACATCCGAATCAGAAAATTTGTGTGTATTATGTTAAGAGTTGATGTATATTATGTTAAAAGTTTATGTTTATTATGTATTATGTTAGATTATGTGTATTATCTTTTAAAAAGAGTATGTATATTTTGTTATATAATTATGTGTATTCTAGTATAACATTATGTACATTTTTGAACAGCGGGTTTTTTTTTAAGAAAAAATTACTGCCATTCACTGGGACGGAAAATTTCAAAAAAAAATAATAATAAATTAAAACGACGTCGTTTTGTATCTGGGCGCACAGTGCAACGCGCGCCGTGGTGTAGGATATAAACATCATAATGATCGGGCTGAACCATAGACTACGAAGGCCCAATGTTCCCGCGTTTTGTCCGACCCAAGTGATGTGGAACTCAAAATCGCGCGCATATGCATTCATCATTGCCGCATTTTTTTTTCCCGCGCATCCTTCGGGACATTGCTGTGATTCGATGAACTGAATTCTCACAATTGACGACGAAAATGGGAGGAGCGGAAGACGTAGCTACGGCAAGCGAAGTAGAGCGAGAGGACGACGAAACCTCCGCCGCCAAAGAGCTCTTGCGCGACCGATTTCGCCTCTGCACCATCTCCATCGCTGAAGCCGAAGGTAGGTTTTCGATTCAAATCCCATACTTCTTCATACATAGGGAGAGTAGTAGGTTCGGATATAGGATTATAGGTGTATATCTCGCTTTCTTTGTTGTTTATTAAATTAACGTCACTTACGGAAGTATAATTGCGATATTTGAGCAGCGAAGCAAAATGATATGGAAATTTCTCAGCCAATTATGGCTTGTATCTCCGATTTAGCCTTCAAATACGCCGGTAACTCTCCATAACATATGCTTTTCCAGTCTTGATATCATGCTCACAAAGCTCCCTTTTATTTGTTTGCATATTGGGTGGACCCCAGTATAGATTTATGAGGATTGTGTTTGATTATGAAGGGGGAAATCATTTGAACTCCATAATACATATTATCATATTTTTGTAATGACCTGTTGGAGTTTGAAGAACTTGCAAAAAGTTGAAGACACAAGAGAAGGAAAAATTATTAGTCTCTGCCACAGTGATATTCATCTTTCTGGGGATAGGGATTGTGACACATCATTTATATTTTAGTGAACATTATGTGGCAGAGATCATCCTGAAATTATAGAGGTTGCTTTAACTTGTGATGAGTAAATATCAAATACTGCATTTGTTAAAGATTTAAACATTTGATACTGTTAATTGTATGGAAGGTCCTGATACACTCTTCATGTTTGCTTTATGTGGTTGCCTTTGATTGCTTCTTATGGTGTCAATGTCTTAAAAATGACTGTCTTTTCAGTCTTGTGTAAAATGGCTAAATGGCTGATAAATCTAATGTTTGATTAGCTATTTCGTGTTTGGTAAATGGGCATACTTCTTTGGTTCTCTAAAGTATTAGGTAACTTTGAAAATTGTGATATTTATACTGGTTGTGTGATTTATGGCTGTAACTACTACATTTTTGGTGTGACTTAGTAGATGTTTCAAAGTAATCTAATGTGGAGAAAGAAATCAATACTTAATTACTTATAAAACCTAGCATGATTGAAGAAACAATAATAGTCACAAGTGGGTTGGTCTATTCCCAGGAATGTTATTTCATTCCTGACCTATTCCATGAACCAATCATGCCATTTGTGTTTTCGCTCTTAGGTTGCATGACTTAAAAATCAACTTAACCAGCTCCTTTTCTGTGTCATTTTAGTGACTAAAGCAACTTCTTATAATAAATTGGTGGTGAATGTTTAATTGGCAGCTAGTGTCAACTTTTTCTAGAATAACAGTAAATAAAAGGAAAAAAAAAAAGAGGCAAATTAAGTAGGTGGGCAGCTACATTACCTATCTGGCTATCCTTTTACAAATTGCATTCT